GACCTCTTGACCTCGTGATCCACCCACCTCGGCCTCCCAAAGTGCTGGGATTACAGGCGTGAGCCACTGCGCCCGGCCAGCACTTCATTTCTTAATGTGGCTGAACGATAGTTCATACTTTATTTGTTCATCAGTTGATGAACATTTGTGTTTTTGTCACTTTGGGCTATTATGAATAATGCTACTGTGAACAAGTGTGTACGGTTCCTCTTCAAATTTTTGTGTGGACACATGCTTTCAGTTGTCTTAGGTGTGTACCTAGGAGTTGAATTGCTGGGTCTTGTAGTAGCTATGTGAAACTTTTGAGGAACTGCTAAAATGTTTTCCAGAGCTGTACCATTTTACATTCTGTATATGAGGATTCCAAGTTCTCAACTTCCTCACCAATGTATGGATTTTGGGGTATACTTTTTAAAAAGGGGGATCAGGCTGGGTATGGTGATGGTGGCTTACACCTGTAATCCCAACACTTTCGGAAGCTGAGGTGGGAGATTCATTTGAGCCCCATAATTCAAGACCAGCCTGGGCAACATGGAGAGACCGTCTCTACAAAACATAATTTTTTTTTCAGACGGAGTCTTGCTCTGTAGCCCAGGCTGGAGTGCAGTGGCACGATCTCAGTTCACTATAACCTCCACCTCCGGGTTCAAGTGATTCTCCTGCCTCAGCTTCTCTAGCTGGGATTACAGGCGTACGCTGCCACACCCAGCTAATTTTTGTGTTTTTAATAGAGATGGGGTTTCCCTATATTGTTCAGGCTGGTCTTGAACTCCTGACCTCAAGTGATCGGCCTGCCTTGACCCCAAAGTGCTGGGATTACAGCGTGAGTTACTGCACCCGGCTGTAAAGAGGATTTTATTTTCGGTTTTTGCCGATGACAAGTTTAGTCATGAAGTAACCTGTGCAGAGCACAGGTTCTAAGTGGCTGGGCGGGGATTGAGTCCAGAGTTGCTGGGAAAGTGGTATCAGGAATTATCAGTCAGTTCTTTCTTTCAGTTGTTAGGGTGTTGTGGATAGTTACAATTGCAAAGAATAGCCCCTAGAGCTTTATGCTCGGAGCCTCAGTTTCCCCATCTACAAAATGAAAGTAGCGATGTGTGCCTTACGCTGGTCGCGGGAGTCTCGTGAGGAAACATACCTCGCATGTCTCAGAACACACTAAGCGTCCATGCCTGGGATGGGCCACGCTCACTGTCGTCACGGAGAAGCACAGGCAGCTGAAGTTGGCCAGGGGGCTGCTCCCATGGCAGTGGGGCTCGTGTGCCTCTGGAGTCCAGGTGTCCTCAGGCAGGTCGCCAGAGAAACTGTCAAACCAAGAGTTGTTTCGGCAACTGAGTAGTTTCCTCCCTGTCTCAGAGTCAGACATCTGAAACGTCCCGGGATTGATGGTAAGGACAGCCAAGAGGTCTGCTCTCAATGTACCCTCTGGGCTGGAGAGCAGGTCTCCCTCCAGAGTTGGGGCCCTCCCTGGCCCATCCTTGCCAGGGTGGGCTCCCTAACCCCAGGGGTGGCAGTGCTGAGCCTTTTTAGCTGTTGTCACTGAGCCAGCCATGCAGGCCCGGGTCTGACGAGCTGCCCTGGACTCCACATGCAATCAGTGTCCAGGGCTTAAAGCTCAAAGTGTTCCGGGTGTGTGCTGTAGCCTTGCCCTTGTCACTGCGCAGAGGGGAGGTGGGGCCTGTGGAGGCTGGGGCAGCCCCCTCCCCACTCACCCTTGCACTGAGGGTGTTCGGGCAGCTGGTGTGTGTCCACGTGTGGCCTCTCTCACCATTTCTCTCTCTCTGCAGCTCTGCTGTACAAGCCTGTGGACTGTGTGACGAGGAGCACGCTGGTCCTCCATGTGAGTCACAGCACCCCTCCTGACTGGGACCAAAACTGCCCCCTAGGGCACACGCAGCACCAGGGCCCTGTAGGGCACACGCAGCACCAGGGCCCTGTAGGGCGCACGCAGCACCAGGGCCCTGTAGGGCGCGCGCAGCACCAGGGCCCTGTAGGGCACACGCAGCACCAGTGTTCCGCGGCATTTCTTTTGGTTGTCATAGCTGCATCCGAGGGAAGCTGCTGACATCTAATGGGTAGAGGCCTGGGGTGGTGTTGGACATTCTGTAGTGCAAGGGACAGCTCTCTCTTGCCCCCCAACAAAGAATTACTCCACGCAAAATGTCAGCAGTGCTGAGGTCGAGAAACCCTACCCTAGAGCCTTACAGAGGAGCACCTCCTGGCGTGTGCATGCAGCTGGGTTTGCTGGAGCACATCCAGAACCTGCTTCTGGGATGTTGCTCACACAAGTGCGGCCCAGGTGAGAGATGCCCGCATAGCCGGCCCAAGTGAGAGAGGCGGTGGTGACATGATGCAGTGGTGACACCGAGGCAGTGGTGACACCGAGGCAGTGGTGACACCGAGACAGTGCTGACACCGAGGCAGTGGCGACACCGAGGCAGTGGNGACACCGAGACAGTGCTGACACCGAGGCAGTGGCGACACCGAGGCAGTGGTGACACCGAGGCAGTGGCGACACGAGGCAGTCCTGACACCGAGGCAGTGGCGACACGAGGCAGTGCTGACACCGAGGCAGTGGCGACACCGAGGCAGTGCTGACACCGAGGCAGTGGCGACACCGAGGCAGTGGCGACACCGAGGCAGTGCTGACACCGAGGCAGTGGCGACACCGAGGCAGTGGTGACACCGAGGCAGTGGCGACACGAGGCAGTGGTGACACCGAGACAGTGCTGACACCGAGGCAGTGGCGACACCGAGGCAGTGGCGACACCGAGGCAGTGGTGACACCCAGTGGCGACACCGAGACAGCGGTGACACCGAGGCAGTGGCGACACCGAGGCAGTGGCAACACCGAGACAGTGGTGACACCCAGTGGCGACACCGAGGCAGTGGTGACACCGAGGCAGTGGCGACACCGAGGCGGTGGTGACACACAGTGGCGACACCGAGACAGTGGCGACACTGAGGCAGTGGCGACACCGAGGCAGTGGTGACACACAGTGGCGACACCGAGGCAGTGGCGACACCGAGGCAGTGGTGACACCGAGGCAGTGGCGACATCGAGGCAGTGGCGACACACAGTGGCAACACCGAGGCAGTGGCGACACCAAGGCAGTGGTGACAGCGAGGGAGCCAGCACTCTGGGCTCCGTCTGCACCTCATGTCTGCATTTTGCACACAGTGGCAGGTGCCAGGGCCCCTCTGTGTCTAACTCATCCGTCTTTCCAGGCAGGACTTGCTGAAGCACACTCCCACCAGCCACCCCGACCACCCCTTGCTGCAGGACGCCCTCCGCATCTCACAGAACTTCCTACCCAGCATCAATGAGGAGATCACACCCCGACAGCAGTCCATGACGGTGAAGAAGGGGGAGGTGAGTGTGATGGGGGATGGCATGGGTTTGCCCAGCCTGCTGAGCTGGGGGCAGGCAGGGCACCCTCGATCTGAGGCCTAGAGCCCCTCCTGGTCCTCAGTAGACCTTGCCTTTTGGGATTGGTGAGCTTGGCAGCACACCCAGTCCTGTGTGGAAGGCGTCGGGGTGCAGTTGCAGGGGTGACTCCACACGCACCATGCCCTTCAGGCGGCGTCCGTCACCGTGCCTCACTCAGCCACCTCTTTCCTTCTCTGTCGTGGTGGGTTATGTCCAGGGAACCCTTTTGTATCTCCCACACTCTTGCCAGCTCAGGGTCCCCAGCCAAGGAGACCTGTGGGAAGGAGGTGAGTAGGAGGGTGGCATTTTATCTGCCTGGAATCCTCCTCCTTCCTCCTGAGTGCTTTCATTAAAAAACAGTTAAGATCGGATTTAAGGATTTGAGAGGGGGAGAAAGAGGGGTTCACAGTTTGTGTCTGTGACGTGAGGCTTCACATCTTCCTCCGGGAAGGCGCTCCTTCTTCCCCGCCATCACTGACGTACTCTGTGAGCATGTCATCAATGGGCAGGCATGGCCTGTGTCTGTGCCGCTCTGAGCCTTCCTGGGTGGGACCTGGCACACAGCGAGGCAGGTGCCTTCCCAGGCGGGCAGCAGCTACTGAGAACAGCTGAGGCGTGCAAGCCGGGCAGCCGGTGTCCAGTGGGAACAGCTCTTGTCAGAGGCAGCACTGAGGTGAGGGAAGCTGACCCATGGCCTAAGGGGCCTCATGCAGGGACAGGAACTGTCTGGCCCAGGCAGGACACAGGCTGGGCATGGACTGACTGTAGTTGCCTCTGAGAACCACCTCCTTCTCTTCTGGTTTATGTGCTAGGTGATTGGCAGTGTGCCAAGGACACAGGCCCTGTCCTCAGGGTAGCCCCAGGACGGACCTGCCCAGCACATGGGTTTTTTTCCTTTTCCTGCCCTGAGCCGTCAGGCAGGCAGCTCTCAGCCCTGTCCACCACACACTTCTTTGGGAATGGTACCCTGAGTGCCCAGTCTTGACCTTGAGTGAGGGGCTTGGTCAAGTTTCTCCTGGTGGGCCCGGCCCAAGGAGGGAGCTGTCCTCTCCATTCCACTCTCCAGGCTTGTCCAAGCCCTGGAGAGCTGGGCAGACGCAGGGTCCATGCCAGCATCATGAGGACTGACCCATTGGGTGGCCTGGAGTTTCTCCCAACTGGGCCCATTCCTCGTCTTTGCAGCAGAATGGGAACATGGCCCCACCTCACTGGGCACCTGGGCTCTCAAATGGACATGATTTAGCGGCAGTCCTGGCCATCCGTGATGGCTCCTTGGCATTCTGAGCTCATTGAAGGCAGAAGTGGGTCCCTGGCGCCTTCCAGGGGAGGTGTTGAGCAGCGCAGGTGTTCCCCAGCTGATAAGCCCATGACTGGGGCCTGGGAGAGGTGGGGGATCAGATCTTGCTTCTTGAAGCATCAATGGGGCCCTGCCCCTGGTTCTCTTCCCTGGCTCAGGGCCACAGAAGGAGAGCAAGCCTGTGACAAACCTGTGGGCAGCTGCACAGATCTAAGTGGATGTTGGATTTGCTTCACCTAAGCCTCCATGTGCTGGGTGGCTTCCTGCCAGGCTTGTTCTTCCCTCCTGAGACGCCTGCTCTTTCCCTTCTACTGACATTCTTCTATGAGCACTCTGACCTCCTGGGAGGCGAGTGTGGGGTCCTTTTTCCCATGGCTTCTCCTGTGCCTAGTCTGCTCCCTGCATCTCCAGCTGCCATTTATCATTGCTAGACAGAAGGAAGGACCTTCTCACCACTCAGATCATTGGAATCCACTGCCTTGGGGAATTGAGGAAAATGGTGATGTTGCCTAGAAGTTGGCAGCCAGGCCCTCGCTCCTGCATGGGTCCCCATTGCGGCCTCCTTCCACGATGACTCAGGCCAGGTCTCGGGACCACCAAGGAGGAAGTGTAATTTAGGAAGGGCTGGGAGCTTCACAAAGGGAGGGGCCTGGATCTGCATCCTCGCCAGCACCTCGCCCTGGTGGAGGGGCATTTGCTCACTGAGGAGGGGTCAGCTGGGTCCCTCAACTGCAAAGCAAGGTGGAGGACTAATGACACTAGGAAACATCACTGTGAGTCTGACCAGCACCCCCTTGTTCAGGGCTTTCTATCTGAGGCCCGTCAAGGGACGTGGCTTGATGGTGGCTAAGCCAGGATGATAGACAGATGCCTTGCTGTGCCCCGCCCCTGCCGTTCCTGAGGCAGATGCTGCGAATCAGTTGGCCGCTCCAAGCCTGGACATCCTCCTCAGTATCCCCTGGCACTGCCCAGCGAGTTTGCAGTCCTTTATGCAGAAAAAAGGATGCCAGATGGGCAAAGCCCTGCCAGGTTCCGCTCTCCCTTACTGCTTACCAGTGTACTGATTTGGGGACACCCTTTTGCTTCCCTGGGTGCCCCTGCTCTCTGAGGGCAATGATGCATGGTCCATGGCCCCTCCACTGGGTGTTGAGACCGAACAGGTTTCACAGCCTTCGAGGGACTTTATGGAAGGAAGGGGTGGTGACCTGCCTGCATGGCGCCATCTGTGTCAGAGGTGACAGGAGAGCTCCCCTGATGTCACCAGCCAGGAAAGAGGGCAGGAGCTGCAGGCCGCTTCCTCTTAGGATTTGCAGCCTGGGCGGGGCCTGAGCTTTTCTCCTGCGCATCTCTCAGTTTGGTACATGACACAGTGTCAAGTTCCCAAAGGGAGAAAGAAACTGTGCCTCATGACAACTCTGTGGGGTCAGAGGCGATCTCCCATTTACAGATGAGGAAACTGCGACTCAGAGAGGTTGAGTGTCTTGCCCACGGTCACACAGCCACTAAGTAGCTAAGCCAGGATGCAAGTGAGGCCAGGGGTCCCCTGTGGGCACCTTGAGTGTGTTACTCTTTGTTTCCCTTCCTCCTTTGTGAGCCAAAAGGACATGTCCACCCCTTCTCTTGTCCCTGCAACATCTGGAGGTAGGAAGAGTCACAAGGAGGAGGAGATGTCCCTTTCAGCTCTGCACACCACCCCATCCCCTGCCGCTCCTGCTGGGAGTGTGTCAAGGGGGTGGAGCTGTTTCTGGCTTCCCTGGCATTTGGTGTTGAGAAAAGCTGCCTCTGTTAGCCTGGGTCACTGCTGGGCCTCCTGGGAGGTGGCCCATTGCTACCTGCTCAGCCTGGGCAAGTCTGACATCGAGGAGAGGCACAGGTGTGAGCCCTGTTCAGGGTCAGCTGCCCCAGCCCTCCCCTGTGGCTCCTGTCATCTCATCACCCTTTTCAGCCACATCCCATGGCTCCAGGGCTGTGTTCTTTGAGGAAGAGTGACTTTGGGCTGCATTCCTGGTGGCCCTCTGATGCTCGATGGTGGCCGGCAGGTGCCCCGTCTTTCCAGTGTCCTGGCCCAAGCACATCTGTGGGCCATGAGTCGCAGGTGCTGCCCAGGAGAATGCCCTCCTCAGCCTCCCCAAAATAACCAGATCAAAGGATCCTGCAGGCACTGTTTCTTTCCAGGCCTGGGTTCTGAGGGCTGGTGGCTGGCGCTCATTTGTTTAGTTGAATTAACTTCACAGTTAGATCACCGATCCTCGCTGCTAGCTAACTCCCCACATGGTTGCCTGTCCGTCTCCTTGGAGCCTTGCACCATGCGCTGCTCAGCACCCCCTCAGCTCAGGCTCGGAAGCATAGTGGATGATGCAGTTGGGATGTTTTGTTTCCCAAGAGCCAGCCAGGCACTGCTCTCCAATACCCATTCTCTGCCTGGGATCCCAGAGGCCCCTCCGTAGAAAGAACGCAGGCAGCAGTCCAAACGGGAGCTGTAGGAAGGCTCTGGAGCAGGGAGGCACAACCGATGCAGGCTTGAGGCTGAGAGGTGGTGAGGCTCTGGCAGAGGAGAACCAAGGTCTTTTAATCAGTTGATGATTAATGAGTTGGAGAACAGGCTGGGCGTGGTGGCTCCTGCCTATAATCCCAGCACTTTTGGAGGCCAAGGCAGGTGGATCACTTGAGGTCAGGAGTTTGAGACCAGCCTGGCCAACATGGTGAAGCCCCGTCTCCACTAAAAATACAAAAATTAGCCTGTCATGGTGACACATGCCTGTAATCCCAGCTACTCGGGAAGCTGAGGCAGGAGAATTGCCTGAACCTAGGAGGCAGAGGCTGCAGTGAGCGGAGATCGTGCCATTGCACTCTGCACTCCAGCCTGGGCAACAGAGTGAAACTCCGTCTCAAAAAATAAAAAAATAAACAGCTGGAGAACAGTTGGAGAGGCCAGACCCTGTTGGCATGGTTTGCAAGGGGTGCTATGGAGAGGGAGGTGCCCAGCCCAGGGGTGAATACAGGATGGGTGGGGTTCTCAGCTCCACTGGACACCAGACAGAAGCTGCAGGGGCAAGGCTAGTGCCCACGTCGAGGGCTAGGCCCTTCTGGGCCCTTCATAAACATTTGCAAACAAAGCTTGGGTTCTCAGCTTGTCTGGGCCAAGTTCTAATTCCTTCCTGGAATGTGGGCATGTTGCTTACCTCTGAGCTGTTCTTTTTCCAGGAAGTGGTGGAGCCGGAGCCTGCTGCATGGGAGGGTTCTGTGGAGTGAGAGATGTTTTACGTCACGCTCTTCTCACACCTTCTTGGCACCCAGAAAGAGCTCAGCAAACATTAGCTGCCACCAGCCACCCTGACTGTGGCTCTCAGCCGGCATTGTTCTTCCCGGGCCCCGCCCTACCCTCCTCCTGGCACAGTGTCTCTTGGGGCATAGGAAACTGTGGTCCAGCTTGGCCATGGGAGGCTTTCTTGGGGACCAGAGAGTAGAGATTTGCTCTGCAAGGAGGGCAGGTCGAGAGCAGGTGAGAGGGAGGGAAGGGCGAGCAGGACCTTTGGCCTCATTCTCGGCTGCAGTGTGTATTGGGCTGTCTGGCGACCCTCGTTGCTCCTGGTCCCACTGCCGAACCACTGGAGCCTACTACATCTCTGCGTAGACAGGGCCACTGACAGGCAGTGTCAGCCAGGTCTCCAGGGGTGCGCCCTTTGCTCTGGGGGCACGGCAGCGAGGGCTGAGGCCACCGGCCTCCTCCAGGGCCCTCCACCAGCCAGCAGCTGACAGCTCCCCCTTGGTCTTCACCTGGGCCCTGTTCTGTCTCCACTTTCTTAGCTGCTACGTGGGGTTCTTTGGCAACTTTTCCTGGCCCCACCAGTCAAAGCACTGCTGATTTGTTGATGATCAAACTGCAGTTCTCGTACCTGGGGCAGTGTTCCAGCATCTCTTTGGAACCGTGGTCTCTGGTTCCTGGAGCATATTGTAGTCGGTTTGGGCTGCTTCGTTAAGTACGGAGTTCTGGGAAGCCCACACGCAGACCTTTACCTCTCACAGTTCTGGAGGCTGGAGATCCAGGGCCAGGGTGCCAGCATGGTCAGATTCTGATGAGGACGGTGAGAAGCACGGCCGCCTTCCCATTGTACCCTCACATGGCCTGCCTGGGAGTAGACATGGAGAGAGAGAAGGACCTCTCTTTCTTCCTCTTCTAATCCCATCACGTAGGTTCCACTCTCATGACCTCATCTGCACCTCCTTACCTCTCAAAGTCCCCACCTCCAGATACCATCCCACAGGAGTTAGGGCATCAGTTTAAATTTTGAGGGGGGCAGAAAGTTTCAGCCCTAACTGTGTGCTTCTTCCAGACTGGCCTTTCCAGGAAGGCCCTGATAGGCTGTGCCCTGGGCGGCGGGTGATGCTGCACTGGCGACAGCCAGAGGAGGTGGCTGGCTGGAGGGACGTCCCCTTAGGAGGTGCCCTTCCTCATGCCCACCGGCCTGATGCGACCCCCTCCTCAGAAGACAGAGGGCACACATGTGACCTCACAGGGCCCCAGTTTCCTTGTCTGTAGAAATGGAGGTGATGGTGCCTTCCTTGTAGAGTGCTTGTGAGGAGTGAGTGGTATGATTCATGGGAAGCTGTGACTGTCACACTTCCACCTGCAGAGGACATGGCAAAGGGCGACAGCCCTGCGTGAGGCCCTGCGGGTCGCAGTTTAATTTAATCCTCAGAACATGCCAGCAGACCAGTCTTTCTCACCCCATCATGTTTAAGGAAACAGGCTCCAAGAAATGGAGGAGTATAGCCAACATCGTCGTCACAGAGAAGGGTGGGCTCAGAAGAAGGAGGGGCTTGAGATAGTGAAGGTGCAGGCTGCCCTTGCTTTCTGGGGGCTCCTGGGGGGATGATGATTTCAGTCGTTCAAGAAGGCAGTTGGCATTTCTTCCAGCTGATGTTACCCACCTGGGTTGTGGGGGGGAGGCAGTTGGCATTTCTTCCAGCTGATGTTACCCACCTGGGATGTTGGGGGGGGGCTCCCCAAAGGAAGTGTTGCCCTGCCAGTGGGGGCCTGCTCTCCCACTGCCCCGCCCTGCAGCACACACGGGGATGATGCCCACATGGGGTTACTTGCACCAGGGCACACACACGCCTGACACACAGGGACATGCCCTCGCACGGAAACACACACACACACAGAAACATGGAGACGCACACAGTGACACATGGGCACAGATACCTCCCCAGGCCACAGGCCTGTGTGGGGTTCCACGCACAGGGACACACTCAGGCACTCACACAAGAGTGAATACACGTGGATACGTGGAGACGCACACAGGGACACACAGAGACGCAGACGCAGAACACATGGGATCCTCCGATGTGCCCTTTCCACACACGGGCTTCCGCAGCCCGGCAAGCCAGCTCTCCAAACCGTGGTGCTGTCCCAGGTCCCAGTGAGGCCTCGGCCCTCTCTATCCCCCGTCTCTAGCTGGGGGTGTTTGCCCTGGAGAGACGCTGAGCCGTAGGGACAGTGGTTTCCAGCCATGTAGCCTTATGCTGGCTTTGGGATGCAGTCAGGACTGTGGCCCCGGCCCACCCTTGCCATCTGCCCTGAAGGATGTGACTCCGGTGGACTGTGCGGGGAAGCCTGAGTTGATTTCAAGGCTGAGTATCCTGTACTCTGGGCCGGGGACCAGGCTGCTGAGCACTTCTGAGAGGGACGTCTCCTGGGCAGGCAGTGACCTACGCCACATGGCTTCCCAGCTCCGTGCTGGTGCTGTGTGCGCTGGGAGGGCAGGGGCTGGGTGATGGGGGCTGCAGAGCAGGGCCTGAGATGCTGCGTTATGCTGGGTGCCTATGGATTAGGGCTTCTCTCAGGACTGCACTCAGCCAGTCTAGTCCTTCCATGTTCCTCTGGCTGCTTTTATCCTAGCTGCACTGGCAGCTGATTAGATGGCGCCAACCAGACTGAGGGTTGGTCTGCCCCTTTCCATCCACTGACTCAAATGTTAATCTCCCTTGGCAACACCCTCACAGACACCCCCAGGAACAATACTTTGCATCCTTCAATCCAGTCAAGTTGACACTCATTATTAAACATTATACCTACCTATCACCACATACAAAATTGAATTCAAGGTGTATTAAATACTTAAATGAAAGACCTCAAGCTACTTAAAATCCTATAAGAAAGCCTAGGAACTATCTTTCTAAATATAAGCCTGGGCAAATAATCTGTGGCTAAGTCCTCAAAAGCAATTGTCACAAAAACAAAAAGTAACAAGTGAGACTTAATTAACTAAAGAGCTTCTGCACAGCAAAGGAAACTATTAAGGAAGTAAACAGACAATTACATAATGGGAGAAAGTATTTGCAAATCACGCATTCAACAAAAGTCAAGTATTCGGAATCTGTAACTTAAACAACTGAACAAGCAAAAAGCAAATAACCCCATTAAAAGTAGGCAAAGGACATGAACAGACACTTCTCAAAAAAAAGACATAAAAGTCATACAAAAAGATGTATGGAAAAAATGCTTATCATCACTAATTACCAGAGAAATGCAAATAAAAACCATAATGAGATATTATCTCACACCAGTCAGAATAGCTATTATTAAAATGTCAAAAAATAACACGTCGATGAGGTTGTTGAAAAAGTTTGTATACACTGTTGATGGAAATTTACATCAGTTCAGCCACTGTGGAGAGCAGTGTGGAAATTTCTCAAAGAACTTAAAACAGAACTACCATTCAATGGTAATTTTTTTCACAATAGCAAAGACATGGAATGAACCCAGGTCCCCATCAATTGTGGATTGAATAAAGAAAATGTGGCACATGTACACTGTGGAGCACTACACAGCAATAAAAAAGAATGCAAGCACATGCTTTGCCGCCACGTGGATGCAGCTAGAAACCATTATCCTAAACAAACACATGCAGAAACAGAAAACCAAATATCACATGTTCTCACTTCTAAGTGGGAGCAAAACATGGGATATGCATGGTAATAAAAATGGGAGCAATAGACTTATGGGAATACAATAGCAAGGAGAGAGGGAGGGGTGTAAGGGTTGATAAAAACTACCTCTGGGGTACTAAGCTCACTACTTGGGTGACAGATTCATTCATGCTCTGAACCTCAGGATCATACAATATACCGATATAGCAAACCTACACATGTACCCTGATTGTAAATTAAAGTTGGACAAAAAGACTCAGGCATGTAGTTCATAAATACTGGTTTTAATATAAATGCGTGGTTTTCTTTGTTGAATATTAAAGAATATAGCTCCAGGAAGATGTGCTACATTTTCCCTGTGGCTTTGAATACCACTTGCTAACAAGCCAATTTGAGAGTCAAGGCAGAAATTTATAGAATTTTATTGTTTATGAAATTCTTTCACTTGTGCTCTATGAGCACATTATGGTGTGGATATATGTTCCTTTGCACACAAGCTCTGGAACATGCTTATACCAAGGCACATGCATCCGGCTATGCTAGTTTCTCTCTGGGAGCTGCGACCTTGTTCAGGGAGCCATAGTATGTACGTTTCCAGAAGCATTAGGAGCTTGAGAGTAATTTGGGAAATTGTTGTTTTATTTTCCTAAGAGTGTGAAGTTCCATTCTTTGGGGAAAATGGCATTTGATTTTTTTTTTCTGTTATGAATATTTTTGCACCTCTCTCTCTCTCTCCTCCCTCTCTCTCTTTCCCTCTTTCCTCTCTCTCTCTCTCTCTCTCTCTCTGTGAGATGTTCTGTCCATTTGTCTTTTTGTCCCTATGTGTTGATATTGTGTGTGGGGTGAGAATAAATTGGATAGGGCACAAATGCAGGAAAAAAGAGGGACTGAGAGAGAAGATGCTGAAACTGTAACTTCTTATCTCCCCTCTGGCAGTTCTTTTCATCTTTTTTTAAAATCATCTGTAAGAAGGGACTGGCTAATCTGATACATTATCTGATAAATGATCCTGGGAAATGAGTGAGTGAAACCACTACTCAGACAAGGTCTTCTGCAGTAGTTGGAGGACATGCACTGGGGAGATGTGGGTATTGGTGCTAAGCCCGCTTCAAGCTCTGTGGACCCCTGTACAAATCCAGGGCATTGCACTCGGGATCTGGGGATAGGGTAGAGGAACTGTCATAAATGCTGCTTAAATCAGTTAAGAAACACTACGTTGTGCTTAGGTCACACTGTAAAATACGTCATTATTAGAACTAGTGTTTGGCGATACTGCTGCAGATGCAGCTGTTTAATATGATAAAGGGTCCTGGGGGAAAGCTTTCTCATGATCAAGAACTCATACCACAGACCTCCAGCACCCTCCCATTGTCCTGACGGTAGGAGCATGTTCCAAGAGGGTGACTAATTGTCTTGCAGGTTGACTGCAAATCTAAAAGTAGATGAAAGCAGGAACATGATTGTGGGTAAGCACCATGGAAGTACAGAATGCCAAAATGACAGAAGGTGGGCATATCCTCACCTGACACATGAGGCAGTCTAGGCCCAGGGGGGTTCACAGGCTGAGTCAGAGAGGCTCACTGGCCATGGCCAGACAGTGAGTGGGGATAAGCACTGGGGCTCACATTGAGGTCTTGATGCCACCGGATTCCAATAGGCCAGGGCTGTAGCTGCTGGGCTCCTGCAAGAACTTAGGAATCCTTCATTCATTGGCATGTGACCTGGCCAATTCTTTTCTCTACCTGAATCTTAGTCACTTAATGTATAAAATAGGCATGACTTAAGGTGGTGTGAAATGAAAGGTTACATAAAAGGCCCTCATGACAAGATGAGAAGCTGGACTGTGTTTGCAGGCAGAAGCTGTTGGCAACATTTGTAGGCAGTCCCTCAGGACTACAGCCAAGTTGGCTGTAGTGAAGACGACTTCCCAGAGGAGGTGACTTTTCTAGCCCAGCTGCTGGGCTGATTCTGGTGCCCACTGCCTGCCTTGTTTCCTGCCCAGGACTTTCACATTCCCAGTGAGGATTACACCAAGCAGCAATTACGGCAGGAGGCCTGGGTCTCACAGGAGAGCGAGCTGGCTGGTTTCTGCCCCGAGCTCATGGTTAAGTAACACACGGGCAACATTGTTTTAATCAATTGGGTTCTACACGCTGCGTGAACAGCATTCCTTAGGCTTGTTCGTGGCTTTTGCATAGACGCTGATTTTTCACTTCCTCTCTGCCCTTGGTTCTCTGCTTTATGGTCACCGGTAGACGGTAGAAAGGAGAATGTGGGATGGAGAGAGTGGGTCTTCCTTTGCATTACTGACATGATCCCCTGAGGTCTGTGGGCACATGAAGGCCCCAGAGGGCTTCAGACCATTGCCAAGGCAGAAGGTAGCAACAGGACGAGAACTCAAGATGGGCACAAGGGACTGGGCTACAGTGGGAGGAGGGGTCCTTACTGGGCTGGTTGACATCACTGCTCCTTGAGTCCATGGTGGTGGGCTGTGTCTTCCTGAGTGAAGTTCACATTCATTCTGGTTTCAGGCATGTTTTTCTTTAATGCAACACACACAGTATTTATTGTCTATGGCTACCCAATTACCTTATGGCTTGCATAAAAATCACTCAAAACTTCAGCTTTGATCCTGTGAAAGAAGGTTTGATCCAGGTTTATAGTATGACCTCAAGTCAGTTTTCTCTCTCTGAGCTTCAGGTTCAGCAGAGGAGGTTCGATATGATCTCTTAACTTCCTAAGCTGCTGCTACTAATTCTTCTCAATTTCTTGGTGAATAATTTGTTTTGTTTTTCTAATTTTGGTCTACTGCAGACCATTACTTTTGTAAAACACAATAAAATGACTTAACAACAAAAGCTCCGGTGCTTAAATGGTCATGGTAATATCCCAGTGCTTTACAGGTTTCTAAATGCTTCCTCCATTTCTGAACTTACATTGCCTTGGACCAGCCAAGTGACCCACACTTTGAGCAGTGCCATTCTATGCAATGGGCTGTTTGGAGAAATGCATCATGGATCTGTCCAGAATGTCTAGTGAGAAAAGGAGCAAAGCTGGGACCTGGAAGTCATTTTGTTCCAGGGAATATAGGCATGAAGAGGGTCTCTTTCCTGTCTCCCATAGTGCCACACCTCTGTCACCAGGAGCCAGTCTATACCACCGTGTCCTCTTCTGTCAGAATATTTCTCATACTGACGCTTGCCTTTCTCATCTGAAGGCAGGAGAATAACTCTGGGTGGCTTTGGGCCAGGGCACTGAGCAGGGGCTGCAGGAGTGGACTGGGGCCGGACTTAGAGCTGAGTGCTTTGCAGGGGTCTGGATGCTCTTTCCTGGGGAAGCATGGAGAAAGGGTGCGGGGGCTGCTGTGGTTGGGATGATGTTGGCATGAACTCTGGGGTTGACCAGAGCCCCAGACTTAGAACCCTGGAAACACAAGACCTTAGGACACACTCATCTCTGGCTCCTGGGGCCATGGGATGACAGAGCTGGTAGGGACTTCAGTGGTCACCTTGCTATTATACCCTTTATTTTAGAAACCAAGGTCACTGCTGTTTCTGATCCCAGACACTCTGAGCCAAGTGTTCACCTTTTCTTCCTCCAGGTCCCCTGCCTCCAGCCTCACCTTGAGCTAGAAATGCCTGTTCTTCCTTTGGCCTGGAGGCCATGGGTGAGTAGAGGCTCCTTTGGGGCCTTTGCTTACCCTGGGCACTCCTGCTTTGTTCTGAAGCTTCAAACACTGTTGGCTTCATTTGAGAACAACTCAAAGCCTTTTATTTCCAGGCTGCAGTGGCTCTTCGCCTTCCTGGATCACAGCCAAGTGTGTACAGGGGGAAGGGGAGGTGGAAAGGAAGCTCTGGTCAGGCCCCCACAGTGACAGCCTCCCTGCCCCAGGACCTACCTGCATCTGACGACAAGCGCCTACTTATGGAAGAAGCTGCTGAGCCCTTGTTCATGCTGGCGCAGATTCATGATGGAGCCTGTGGGGCCATGGCAGGGCCCCCTTGGGTCCCATTCTGTGCTGTGCTGCCCAACTCTCTCTCTCCAGTGATTCCGCCTACTGCGTTAAAACTGGGGCCCTAATGTGCTATAAATGTCATTCATCTACTGTGAATTTTGAGCACCCACATTGCCAGGCATCCCTGGGCTGTTCAGGGTACAGAGGAAAAGGGGGGCGAATGGCCTGGGACAGGGACCCACAGGGACAGTTGCCCTGTCTGTTAAGGCGCTATATGGTCTCCAGGGCTCCAGCTTTGACTTGGACCTGGTCAACTACTTCCTGTTCCTGAGAGGCTGACAGCAGAGAACCCCTGCTGCAGTGAGGTGGGTGCTGCCCTGAAGGGTGCTGAACAGGCAGGGGCCTGAGCCAGGGGCCACACTACCTCACCTAGAGATTGCTGTGCCTCCCCTTCAATGCAGGAACTGCAAGATCCGTGGTGACATCATTGCCCCACTAGCTGGTGCCAGGCCAGGCGTGTGGACTAGCACTGAACCAGCGCACTCTGGAGTGTGCTGGGAGAGCATCCCAACCACTGCTAAGCCTCCAAGGGTGCTGCCGCCCAGCCCCTCTGGGAACTGCCCACATAGGTGTCCTCCTGCTGACTGTCTGTAATGTCACCTCCCTCATACCCAAAGAAGGTCTGTGTGCTCTTTTACCAGCAGTGTCACCGGCGATGGGCCCAAGACTGAACCGGGCTCTCCCAGAGTGAGTCTGGGCCAAGTCTACCATCCACAGGGCTTGACAGAAGCCACTTCCAAGGACAGCAACATCCTCACCTGTGAGAGAGCAGACCCACCAGGTTCCTGGATTTGATCTCCTGGGTGGAGATTCATCCAGTCCAGGCCAAGCATTGGCTCAATATTTCTCTTCTCTTTCAGTCTTTTTAAAAAAATCCATCAACTCATTCCTTCATTCATTGCTCAATGCGGGGAATATCTTGGTGGCTCTGACAGACCTAACCCCTTACTTCAGAGGAACAGACATTGAACAATGGATTATGCAGTTATATAGTAAGTGTGCTGTTCTACAAATGTGAATGGCCAAGTGTCAGTGGGAGGATAGTCTTACCTCCTAAATGCTGGAGACTCCACCTTTTAGAGTTAAGGGTGGTATCAAAATACTTAACTGGAACAGCAAAGGCTTTGGCCAGGAGGATGGGTCCTCGCCATGGACAACCAGAGCAGCACCTGAGGGCTGAGCAGGGGCGATCCAGTGACTTTCTTGTGCCTTGACACTGCTATAGCCCCTTTTCTATGCAGAGACAGACCCATGCTCTCAAACAGCATGACACCAGTCTCTCTGAAGCCTTTGAAATCTGTTGTCCTTCTTGTCTGCTGTACCCTCGATTTCCTCACCACATCTGGCCAGCCTGATATGGGCCCAGGCTCCTCCTTGGTGAGGACACACCCCTGTCCCCATCACTTGAGATACAGCATGGAGTGAGAGTCCTGTGTGCTGAAGGACTTGCGTAGTGCCGAGGCTAGGAGGACCTAGAGAATGGAATGGAAGAGGGAGGAAGGGTACACAGGGTGGGGGGCTGAGGGGAATACTGTGGAGGGGACTCGCCTCTCAGGTGCACCTGGAACCCAAATAGCTAGAGATGTTTCAGACCCAAGAAATCTGGACTGCCTGCAAACACCTGTTACAGATGCCACATTCCTTTCTTTGATCTGAGAAGCTGGGAGGTTGAAAGGGAGTTGTCACATCTCCAGAGCTGGACTTGGCATGGGTCAGGGCTAGCTGGGAGGCAGCCCCCTGCTTCTCCGGAGTCCGAACCCATCTCCTTCCCATGGGCATCATCCCATCCAGGAGCTGGAGAGGAGCACATGAGCAGCCACACTGGCAGGGCCCAGGACCAGCCCTCACCACAGGGCCGTGGTGCATCCACCATGCCTACACCTAGCTCCTTCCCACAGGCACCATCCCGTCCTGGAGCTAGAGAAATGCACAGGAGCAGCCACACTCACAGAGCCCAGTACCAGCCCTCACCATAGGTTGCCCACTCAGGCCCAGCTCCTTTCCTGGGCCCCACCCCATCCTGGAGTTGAAGCAGAGAACAGCATGTATGGGGCCTGGGAGCAGCCCTTACCACAGGGTCACCAAGCACCACGCCTGCAGTGCCCCTTGGGAGAACATGGAAGGTGGGAAGGCACCAGGGACCTCAAGGGCTGCCCACTTGTGCAGTGGGTATGGGGAGTTATGGGATGTCAGACCTCAGGGACCTGTGGACGTGGACACAGATGAGGCCCTCTCAGAACCCACCTCTAGACTCCCTTCTAAGAAAGACAGACTGGCAGATGCTGGCACAATGTCCAGTTTATAGATAGGAAAACAGATTCTGTGACAGAATTTATTTTCTCTCTTAGCCAGGAAAGGTACCTATTCTGTTTAAGATGAAATGAACAGACTGGCACAGTGGCCTTCCTGGATCATTGGAGAAATGATTCTGAAATGGGTTTCTTATTGACAGTGTGTGTGTGCTTGCACAGTGCAGCCAGGTGCTCAGGCTCGCCCCAAGGGGGGAGATGAGTGAGCGCGGCTGCATTCCTCATGCACCTCACTGCTGTCCTGCTCCAGCGCCTCAGCACGAAGGCGCCTGCCAGCACAAGGCCCGTCCAGTGGCCACAGCAGAAACGACAGCCACTTAGCACGCTCCTGTCACCCCCAGGTCTGCTCACAAGGTAAATACACATAACAAAAGTTTTAAAGGAAAATCAATAACTACAGTGATTAAACACCAACCGTGATTTGAAAAACGAAATGTCAGTTTTAAATGGTACCAAGCCAAGAACTTAAGAGCGAGTTCTCACCCATTTTCTCTTCCTGAGAAACCAAACACTCTGTGCAAAATGATTCTAAACAGCAAGATACAAGTAGGCAAAAAATACACATGGACACACACCGCCGGACTAGACGTGCCTGCCTGACTCTGCAGCAGGCCCTCTGTGGGCAGCTGGCCATCATCTCAGGCCCCAGGGGCTTGGTGCATCCCAGGATGCCCTTAGAGCTCTGCAGGTCTGCCTCCCCTCCCCACACTTCCCAGATGAAGGCCCAGGCCCAGGAAGGAAGCACTCACTTCCCTGTCCTGCATCTCCCTAGGGGTCACAGTCATATAGGTGGTGCTGCGCCATTGCCTGGGGCTGAGATGACAGCCCCACAGCAGGTTTAAAGGCCACAAGGCAGACTGCAGCTGAGCGTACGTTCCCATACCAGGGGGTTGTGCTTCTGCCCTAGGAATGGGGTCGATATTAATGGTCTGAAATGAAGAAGTTGCCCAAATCAAGCTAGGAAGGGACTGGCTAATTGGCCAGTGCGCTGGTGCTGCTCATCCCTGGTGATGCGGAGCCTCCAGAGAGAAGTAACAGCAGGGAGCTCCCCTTCAGACCTGCAGAGCTTCAGCTCAGGAAGGGGCCAGAAAACATCGAATCCAACCACGCATTCCACAGATAGGAAAGCAAGGTCCACTACCTGAGGTGTCCCCCTTTGGGGTCTTGGTCCTGGCCAGGCCACCAGGGGAGGTGGACTTTGACCTCATGATAGGTCCAAGGGCCCCTGTACTAAGCTGAGTTGACTTTTCCTTCTGGGACAGTGGGTAAATGGCTGGGTACATGCTGGACACAGCTGGCGTCTGGGCTTGTGAGCAGGGCTCTGCTCGCAATAGGCCAGCGTCCTCTTCCCTTGTCCCTCCGTCCATGTCCACCCCTACTTTCACCCTGAGGTAGGGATGGAGGTAGAAGCAAGGACAAGAAGACACTGGCCTATTGCGAGCAGAGCTCTGCTCACAAGCCTGTTTTGGTGGTGACAGGAACCCAGAGCAGGAAGGAACCTTTCTGGAGATGGGACTTGAACGCCTGTCTCTGAAGCCTCCACCAGGTTCATGTACACGACGCACACTCAGAACACACAGGATTTTCCCAGCAGCCTGCAGTCAACAGGGAAGGGGACTGGGCTGGGAGTTGAGATCAATACCAGGCCCCACTGTAGTCAGCTAAGGACAGGGGATGCCATTAAGAGCTTCGCTGTGTGAGACCACCTGGAGGGACTTACGGGGACACAGTCAGGGATGGGCCAGTAAGCCACCACCCTACACACCCTGCCCAGTGTGGCCATGCAGCCATTACCACTCCACCTGTGGGAGCACAGAGGCCCGGCCCCTGCAGTTCTGAACAGCTGCACCTGCACTCCAGAGGCCCTCTGTCCCCTCAGCCCAAGGCTCTTCCAGTCTGTCCTTCCTTCCTCCACTGTACCCTGGCCGTGCCCTCCTTCCCTGTAAAAATCTGACCTAACCTCCTCTCCAGCCTAACTCAGGCACCCCTTGTCCTGAAAACCACTCTCCCTGCCCCACTCCCTGAGAAGGAGTCTTCACCATTGGCAGCAGTCAGCCCATCTTGGCCATCACCACTGTCTGTGTCCTTGTCCTTTCCCTCACTGATGTGACCCTGTCAAGTTTGGGCAAAGGTCTGATAGATTCCCTGTGTCCTCACTACCTAAGCCTGGGGCCCTGCCACCTGAGCCTTTGAGCTACCGAGGAGAGGACCCCTGCTGAGGGCTGAATTCCCAGAAGCCGGCCAGGCCCCTGGTCTGGTGAGGTGTGGTGCTCACAGGCGCTGACAGGATGTGGAGGCCGCCTCCATCAAACCCTGTGGGCAGTCACGTTTTTGGAGGAGGAAAGTCTATTCACCCCAGGGTAGAAGGGTCTGGACTGCCCTGTTCACTCTGAAACTCTTAGAAATTTTGGTCAAAAACCTTCAATATAAAAAATTCCGACCCATACCTGAACCTTAGCACACAAAGCCCTGGGTGGGGCCCTACCTTCTGAGCCTGGGATCTGAGGCTCTCTCAAGTCACAGGAGGAGGAGACTGGCTTCTGGCCGCAGAGCCAATGAGTCCAGTGTGGCACTGGAATGCCAGGGAAGAGGGCAAAGTGAAGGAAACACTGGGCCTGGCACAACCCCAGCCCCACCCCAGGTCATCCTCCCTGCGGGCTCCACCCGCGTCCCACGCCCTCCAGGGGGCCTCACACTGCTCCCGTGCACAGCGGACCCCTTCACTTTCTGCTCCTGTATCCCATTCATCACTTCTGGCACTCCCCCAGATCCCGGCCACATTTCCCTACTTCTCCTGGCCGACTCCCTGGCCCTGCCTTCCATGGGTTCCCTCTGTGCCCTCCCCACTACTCTGCCCCTTCACAAAGTCACATGCTGCACCACCTGCACTGCAGAGTCCTGGGCCCTGCGTTGGGCCCCTGTCCCAGGACCCCCTCAGCCCTGTGCCACCGCTATCTGCACGTTCTTTCCCTCCCTCCCTCTCACATCCCACGCCTCACCCTGCAGGTATCCCCCCATCAGTTGCTGCTTTGCCCAGCTCCAACCAAGCCTTCTTAAGCAGGCAAAGGGCCCTCCAAGGGGCATCACCAGATTTCTGGGACCCTGACCCCGGTCCTTGTCACCCCAGTCTCTGGAGCTCCCGTCCTGCTCCTTGTGGCTTTCGGCTGCCCATCCTCCTGCTCTCCCTTCCTTCTGCCCTTCCCTCTCTGCCTCTTCCAGACCGGAGCAGCCGCTGTACTCTGGCCTCAGCCTGAAGTGGGAGCCCCTGCAGGCTTCAGCTGCCCTTCTGGGTCTAAGGACCTAACTCCTTTGCTTCTCAAGACCACCTTTCACTTTCCTTCTCAAGTTTTCCAATGTTTGATGGCCTTGCCTCTCCCCTGACCAAAAAATGCCAGGGCTGAAAAGGTCCATGTCCACTGTGGCCTGCGGACCTTGGCTCCCAGGACCAGCATGGTGGCTCCTCATGTTCCAGCATTGGGGGGAACAGCCCAAAGGCTGGAAGGAAGAGGCTGAGAACTGGGAGCGTGTGTGAGTGTGGAACCTGTTGGTAGCCCGGGTCTGAGGGGCAGGAAGAGACGGAGGGTGCTTGCTGGGAACTGGTCCTAGCAAGGGAGTAAAGGTGGAGCCCATGGCCAGCCAAAGGCACAGGTGGGTCCCAACCAGGCAGAAAATGTACCTTGATCAGGCCTCCGCTCTCGGTAAGGGATGGGGTCCCTGACATCAGAGAGCTTTAGAGTGTGGAGGACTAGCACTGCCCTGGCCCCTCTCTGGTTTCGGTGTCCCGAGTCACAGCTTGGTGCCCCTGGGCGGCTCCAAGGACTGCCGCAGGCACATCTGCTCATGCATGGTCTTCTGCAGGGCCTGGGTCTTCTCCAGATCCACCTGGACATATTCCGCCTTCTTGCCGGATGCGACAGAGCTTATGGATAACTGAGGGACACAGAGTGGAAGTGCAAATGGGAGTGTCTGTGAGTTCCTGGTGAGGAGGGGCAGGCCGAGGAGTGGGCTCTCCCGAACTTTCTCAGGGAAGAGGAGCCTCCACCTCCTGCTCTCAGCAGCCTGAGGGGTCTTGGGCTTTAAAGCCTCAACTCCAGGCTAACCTCACCTCCTGCTAGATGCCACAGCACTGCCAGCGCTTCTCATCTCCCAGGTCGCAGGAAGAGCCAGGCCCTTCTCTGGCCTGAGGATTGGCCAAGGCCTTCCCCTCGACCCACTCATCCATCCAGGGCAGGAAATTTCCCAGGTGCCAACAAGCACCAGCCCAGGCCTTTCCGGGGGAACCCTAGGTGAGTCCTATCTCCCCAAGGGGGTCAATGTGCAGAGGTGGGGCTCCCCACCCTGCCGTCTAGACAGGCTGGCTACATGTGCTTCCTCGAGAGGCTTTCCTGGGCCCAGAAGTTCCTTCTGAGGCCCGGCATCAATGGCTGGGCTCTGGGACCTCCCACACAGTGAGTTCTCACTGAAGAGTTTGGTCTGGAGGCAGGAAACTGAGTCCTGGGTCTCTCCTGATTTATTCTGCAACCTCCACAGGTCAGGGCTCTGCACAGTCATGTGTCCATCTCTACAGGGAGTCAGGGCAGACTGATCAAGGCACCACGCTGAGAGGGAAGGAACAGGAGCCCCAAGATCCAGACCGGAGCACCACTGAGCATACGAGCCAGGCCGGGCTGGGAGGGGCAAATGCTGCTGCTGGTGCTAAAAGGCATGGCCCCGCGGTCTCTCCCCCAGAGCCCAAGGGCTCCGCCCGACCCCAGCTCCACCCCAGGCACCTTGCTTGGCTGGAAGTCCACAGCCACATGGTGGATGCTACCAGTGCTCCTCGCCAGGGCTGAACTGCTGGTGCCACCGAGAACAGGAAATGCAGACCCCGGGTTCTGTTGTCACAAGGAGGAAACTCCTGCGGGTGAGTTTAGGACATGGACGGACCCAGCACCCACTGGAACACACCTGTGGGCATAGCTGCACACTCACTGGATCCTACTCTGAGCCACGCACTGGGACAATCCCTGCTCATTCAAACCCTCTCAGCAGTCCTGCGAGGCAGGCGTTACTACTGCACCTCTCCTTCACACACTGGATGCTGCACCCACTCCGTCCTCTGAAACTCCCACCCATGGCCCAGAGTGGGGCCATCTCATGAAGCAGCTGCCTTCCCCTCCAGTTCCCAGAGTTCAGCAGCGCCCACCACCCCAGGCTGCATGGTGCCTGCTCCCTTGGCAGCTCTGCAGGAGACACGCCAGGTCCTGGCTCCCCCAGCCTCCTCTCTAGAAGGCTGCCACCTTGCTGGGACATTCCACCTTGCTGGGACGTTCCATCTTGCTGGGACGCTCCTGAAATCTGGCTCTGGTGAGAAAGGCGGCAGTCCTGGGCTCTGGGTCATGGCTGCTTTGCTGGCTGGCTGGCTCATTCTTCCAATATCTACGCAGCAACTATCAAGTGCTGGCCACGATGCCCTCTTTAGTGCCAATCTAAGGGGGTCTTGTGCTCCACCTGCATCTCCACGGCTCTCACAGCCCTCACCTCGATGAGGAATGCACATATGTGTCTCCCTACAGCCAAGCAGACCCTCCAGCTCTGCCTCTTCCAGGGCAGGGCCCTATGACACCAAGTGACACCACCTGTGTCACCATCATGAGGGAGACATAGGCTGCCTCTGCTCTTCAAGTCTCAGACCCCCTCGAGGAGAGACCATCATCTTCCTAACTCTGATGACTGCTTGATAGACCTGTGCTTCAGTGAGGGTTTGCAGCAGGAGACCAAATCTTACCCCACTGGGCTGGGGTTAGTCAGCTGGGATAGCTAAGCTGGGAAGTGGGGACGTGAGTGTGGGTCCCAAGGGACTCTCAGGAGCCTTACAGTGACCCGCAAGGACTCACCAGGAAAACGTATCTCTCTCCGCTGTCTCCTGAGTCTGCGCTGGTGATGCCCTGCGTGGAGATGGGGTGTTGGGAGGAGCTGGAGTCAAAGGTGTGGCTGCTGCAGGAAAAAGACAAGGAGTATATCCTGGGCGGTCTCAGGACAGCTGTCAGGGCTCCAGCCTCCTGCTGCGCCCTGACCCCAAGCATCCATACCTCACCCTCTGTTACCAGATCAAGAACTGATAGAGGCGGGAATCATAATTCCCCCTTTACTGATGATCCTGTCTCCATTAGATGGGGACAGGGTCAGCTAACTCCACATTAATGTCGGCATCCATTTATCCTGACCACCCGCCAACGACCATCCCACTCACTCCTCCACCAGCCCGGTGGCCCCAAGCTCCTGTTTCCACTGACAGACACTCACCTGGCCCTAGACCAGGGCTCTGTGACAGGTGACTTGAAGGAGAGCTCATTGATGACCCTGTTGTTTCTCCGGTTGGGCGGTGTTGGGTTTGCTGGAGCAGGAAAAGAACCTTCAGTCATCAGCCAGTGATGCCTTCACACCCATGTTCACTTTGCTTCAAGGCCCATGTGTGCTTAGAAAAGCCCTTGCTGTCCACCCAGCTGTGTGTGGGGGGTTGAGGCTTGACAAGGCTCTATCAGCTGGGCCATTCTGAAGGGCCTTAGAGTCCTGTTCTCAGATTCCAGATCATATGTTCCTCCCACTGTCTCTATGGCCCCTGTATTTTCAGAATCCAAAATGGGGACACATAGTCTGACAACAGATTTTTCTGCCTAAATTTGACTTAATATAAAAATCAGATGCAACGTTTGAAATGGATTTGGTCCCCATGCCTGCCCCTGCTTGCCCTGGACAGGGCTGTGTAGCCCACCGGGGAAGGAGGTGGACGCCGTGAGGTGCTGAGGCCCCAGCACCACTCACTGAGGTCTGGTTCCCTGTGGCCAGACCCACAAGGCTGATCCCCACCCAGTTATCCCACTCCTCCCCTGAACCCTTTGCTGGCCCGAGGCCACAGGGGGAGGTGGCAGCGTGGAACCTGACCTCTAGCTCTTCTTCCTGGTCTACATGTGGTAGGCACAGGCCAAACTTCAGTGGCCTGGGCCACTGTCCCAGACACTCTCCTTCCAAACAAACCCAGGAAGCAGGAGTTACTATCTCCGTTTCACAGAGAAGAAAACAGGCTCAGAGAATTCACATGACTTACCAAAGTCAGACATTCCACATCCAGGATCTACCGGACCCCGAGGTGAATGCAGAGTCTCTGGACATTGTCAGGAGATGGAATGGGGAGACTTACCTTTCTGGTTAGGCTTGAGGCTGCGGTTGACAGGGGGCGGCTGGACCTCATGTCCCTCGCTGGGGTCTCGGTGCACAGAAAGCTCTGTGAGTGGGGAGCCGCGCAGGTCAAAGCAAACGGGTCTTGGGCCCACGGGGATGCAGGTGCTCTGGGAATCATCGCCTGCTCGCTCCACAGCCTGCAGGTCCGGGGAGCCTGGGCTCATGGGCACACAGCTGTCCCCAGAAGCAATGTTGTGCGACAGGCCCACAAGTGTTTTCCCTGGCTGGGGAGGGAGAGCTAAAGAAATGGCTATCACCACCAAGAACAACAGAGGAGTGAGAATTTCTAGACAAGGCAAAAAAAAAAGTCATGACTGGGTATTTTGAATCAAAGCCTTGATCACCTTGGCTGGGGACTATTGTCTTCAGCAGCCACCAATGGCCCAGACAGAAGTGCTCAGACAGAAGTGGCCCAGACAGAAGTGCTCCAGCCAGGAACCCTGTGCATGGGGCCCCTCTGGGCAGCCTCGGGGGTCAGATTTTAAAGCAGGTTCCATGACACAGTCACATGCAAAAGTGGAAGAGGTTTCAGTTCTTAACAGGTCCTGGGAGGTCAGGGAGCGCAGGCAAAGAGAGAGAAGAGAGTGGGGCAATGAGCAGGGTATCTTGGGGAATGGGGTGTGGGTCACTCAATTAAGGTTGGAGTAAATGCCTGGATGGTCCATTTAAAGGGAGCAACAAGAGAGTGGCGAGCCCAGTCTGCCAGCTGGGAGAGCCGACTCTGTGTTCCTATCTCTGGCCACTGACTGAAGCCACATGGGCGTGGTGTAGAACTGGAAACCATCAGAGTGACTACGTCCTCTGCCTCTGTTGTGAGAATGTTAACTACACTTTGGAGCTATCAGAGCGACCTTGGAAAGACTACAAAATCGGAGTAGAGGCAAGAAGAAATGAGATGTGTGGGCCCTTTTAGCCCTCCGGACCTGTAGCATCCAACTACAATTTGTGACAAATCTAGAGAATCAAACATCTTTAGTGGTTGGGTCCACCCGGGTTTCCGGATGCTGGGCCCAGGCAGAAGGCCGTGCGGGCCGTGCACCATCCACCTGCAGCCCTGACACAGCACTGGCAGGTCGGCATCTCGGGCCCTGATCAAGGCAAGGATCATATCAGATGTCTTGGCCCTGCATGGCGAGGTGTAGGGCGAGGTGCACTTCCCCAGACAAGGAGATTACTCTCTTCCAATGGCTGTGATTAGCAGACAAGGTATCAGGGAGCCTGGGGCTCTTTCAGGCTCCTAGGTGACCACCAAGCTGCAGGCAGAGCTGCCACAGAGCTGTGCAATGCAGCAGACCTAGGGAGAGCCTTCCTCTAGCTTCTGTCCCATCTGTCCTCTCCCTTGGTTACCTAATTTCCACCATCTTTAGAAGGGGCCTAAAGCCAGGCCTTGTTGCTTGTCTGACACCTTGGAGAACTGTGGTCACCTCTTCCAGATGGCAGCCTGGAATCCCAACCCCTCACCTGACTGAGTACTGCCCTTGCCTTGAGGCTCACACGGAAGCATCCCTGCTCCAGGGGACCTCACGGGTTACAGCACCTCCTCAGAACACCCAGAACCCCAGCATTCTGCACCCTCTGCTACCCACAGGGCTGGTAAGCCTTGTGATACTGTCTACTTAAGTACTCACTTTCTTCCAGACCAGGATACCTGCATCTCACTTATCCTAGAACTGAACTAGGGTTCTGAACTGAGGCAGGAACTTACGCAGGTTCCTAGGAGGAAGATGCTGTCACTCTTTGTGCTTTTAGTTCATGGAGTGTGACCTTTACCTCCCTGAGTCAGCCTGGGGACCCCTGGTTAAACCACACTCACCAGGAAAGAACTGACTCCCTCATGCATGGACTCGACAGGCGGGCCTGCACTCCCTCCACCACACTGGGGGTCCTCGTGGAAGGAAGCTACGACAGAGGAAGGAAATCCAACGTATCACTGCTGATCCATGTGCTGACGCCTCCCACACCCTCCCCAGTGCTACTCAGGGTCTCACTGATGCTCCAGAAGACAGGACTCTCAACCCCAAATGACAAGGTGTTACCCCTAACACATCCCTGCTCCCTACCACAACTCCTCCTGGGCTTCCAGGTCCAGCTCCAGTGTTACCACAGAGTGTCCCTCCTGGGCATCTGCCATCAGGGCACGCATATCCGTCAACTTCTACAGCACCACCACCCATCCCTTTCACCCACCTGCCACCTCCAGGAATAGTAAAGCATTCTTGTACTGACTTCTGCATGTCGGTTTCATTTTATTTTATACATAGATGTGAGCTCCAGACAGAAACCTGGTCTTTTTTTTTTTTTTTTTTTTGGGACGGAGTTTCGCTCGTTACCCAGGCTGGAGTGCAATGGCGCGATCTCGGCTCACCGCAACCTCCGCCTCCTGGGTTCAAGCAATTCTCCTGCCTCAGCCTCCTGAGTAGCTGGGATTACAGGCACACGCCACCATGCCCAGCTAATTTTTTGTATTTTTAGTAGAGACGGGGTTTCACCGTGTTGACCAGGATGGTCTCGATCTCTTGACCTTGTGATCCACCCGCCTCGGCCTCCCAAAGTGCTGGGATTACAGGCTTGAGCCATCGCGCCCGGCCTGAAACCTGTTTTATATATGTCTCTATCGTCTCAGTTTCACAGCATAAGGGCCTTCCTCAAATTGCGCAAACACTGAAAAGACTGCAAAGAGTTCTAATCCAGGATCCAGGACCTCAGGGTGAGGCTTATCTTTACCACTTTTGACTTTCAACCCTGAATGAGCCTACGCACTATGGGCCTCATGTAAAATGGAGAAAACAAGGCTTTGCCCCATCAAACCTTCTCATAGCTTAAGAGGAAGCATAACATGTTTTGCAAGGTATAAAAATGGAAGCAAAAGGAAAGGAGTTAATATTGATCTATTTTTTTTCATTGAGGACAGGTTATATGCAGATATAAAATACTCTCAGTAGAAAACAAATGACAAAAGAATCTAGATATTTGAAATACAAGTTTAGACTTCAAATAAAGAGATCCAAGTATAGGTTGGAAAATATTTTTTTTTTTTTTTTTTTTTTTTTTTTTTTTTTTTTTTGAGACGGAGTTTCGCTCTTGTTACCCAGGCTGGAGTGCAATGGCGCGATCTCGGCTCACCGCAACCTCCGCCTCCTGGGTTCAGGCAATTCTCCTGCCTCAGCCTCCTGAGTAGCTGGGATTACAGGCACGCGCCACCATGCCCAGCTGATTTTTTGTAGTTTTAGTAGAGACGGGGTTTCACCATGTTGACCAGGATGGTCTCGATCTCTTGACCTCATGATCCACCCGCCTCGGCCTCCCAAAGTGCTGGGATTACAGGCTTCAGCCACCGCGCCCGGCCTGGAAAATATTTCAAAGATCTCATTTTAACAGTCTCTTAGTCCACACTGGTTTGGCTCTGGTTTGGACTGATCTCCTAAATTTCTATTTTAAGTCTTTACTTTGATTTATACATGCATACACTATGATGACCAAATTCAAAATGTGCTATACTGTGGTTAACTACGAATGTTCTGTCTCCCTTAGTGGAGGCAGAGTCTGCACAGTCTTGCCGCTGTGGGTGTCTACTAACAGCCTCCAGTGCTGGGAGACCCAGTGGTCAAGCAACCCATGAGTATCAGCAACCCAGGTGGCTCCCAAGTTTCCCGTGGCCATGGGAGACCCCTGTTCCACCTCCCTCGCCCTCTGACTCAGTGAGGGCTCATACTGACCTTGCTGACATCGGCTGTTGTCCATTGCAGAGAGGGTATTCCACCTGGGGATGGCAGCAGCAACGGACCATCTGCTACTTTCACTGACTGAAGGTCTCTGCTGAGGGCTGCCCCACTGACATGCTTCTGCCAAACTTGCCTTGGGCAGGGGAAGGGAGACTATGGGCCCAGGAGTGGCCACCGCTGTGGCACAGAGGTTCTTGTCTAACATGACTGTCCTAGGGATCTGATACACTGAGAGTGGGGTGCCCAGAACACCACTGTTGTTCACCAGGTGGCCCCCAAACTCTTGGCACGGGGTGCTGCTGGGTGCCTTGAAGGGGTACACACCTGCATTATCTGCCTCAGATCCTGTGAGGCTGCCTCTGGTGTGGTCATGGGAAGCCAGGCTCCAGGGGGCTCTGCAGGGGCTGCCTCTGAATTCTGTATTGTGCTGGCTCAGCTTGGAAAGGCTATGGAAGCCATGGATGTGACCGCTGACCCCATCGACACTGTATCCACTAAGCTGTGCAAGATTTTGCAAGGCTGTGTGTCTTCTCATGAGGAATGAGGCCCCAGAGCCCTGGGAGAAGCTGGCACTCCTAAGAGAGAGAAAGATGGGAAGGGGCAGGGATGAGAGGAGGTCAGGACTGCTCCAGGGAGGCAGGCAGGCAAGCTCACAGCCCCAGGTAGTGAGACGATGCGGAGAAAACACAGGACGAGGAATTGGGCAGGCCTGAGGTTTGTCTAGTTTGGGGCTTCACTACATTGTGGCCTTAAGCAAGCCATTTTCCTTTTCTGAATGCCAGTTTCTCCATCTGCAAAATGGTGATTAAAAGCTCACTTTGCAGGTTGTTTAGAAATCAGACTCTAGTATATCTAGAGTCTAATTCAATCAAGGCAAGACCTTATTTCTCTCACCCCCCATGGCTGTGATTAGCAGGGTGATCAGTTTTACCCCCACAAAACAGATAGCAGCAAACCAGGTACACCGACTACTGGTTCCCTGCTGTATCACAGAATGTGCATATCTGAATGCTCAGGCTGAGAGAGGGTGGCAGGAAGCAGGAAGAAAGTCATCTCTTCTCTGAGTCTCAGTGTTCCCCTGTGAAGTAAACCAGCTCATGGGTGTTAATGTGGTAAATTATGAGGAACTACTCAAAGGTAAGCGACAGATTCATTTTCTACCAGATATTACGGGAGGTTAGAGAGGCAATTAGAGGGGAAAGTATCTATCTCCCGAAACCTAAACATCTATTGAAAAATGCTTTCCTGTTTAGCAACTATATCTGGGATAGAAAAAGTTTTGAAGCTGGGCATGGTGGCTCACACCTATAATCCCAGCACTTTAGGAGGCCCTGAAAGGCAGATTGCTTGAGCTCAAGACCAGCCTGGACAACACGGTGAAAACCTGTCTTTACTAAAAATAAAAATTAGCTGAGTGTGATACCTAACAAACAAACAAAAAAAATCCTATTGAAAAAATGGACAGGAAAAAGAAAATAAATCNACAACATATATACATATGTGTGTGTGTGTGTGTGTGTGTGTGTATACACACACACACACACACACAAATACAGAAATTAGCTGGGCATGGTGGCGTGCACCTGTAGTCTCAGTTTCTTGGGAGGCTGAGGTGGAAGGATGGCTTGAGCCCAGGAGGTCAAGGCTGCAGTGAGCTGAGATCATGCTATTGCACTCCAGCTTGGGTGACAGAGCCAGACACTACCTCAGAAAAAAAGAAAAAAGTTTTGAATTAAAATGTAGGCTTTGGGAGCTACAGCAAGCAGTAAAAAGAGCGGCTCAGTGAGTGAGGAGGGAGCTGTGTTGGGTTCCCGTGCTGCCACTGATAGTTCTGTGTGCCTCCTTGATGGCCCCAGACACGACCCAGGTCACACTGATTTCCAAGGGTCCGCCTGGCTCTGCAGCTCTACAGCCTTTGGCTTTACGAGAATGGTTTTGAAACTGGGTTCTATGTTCTGTGCAGGCGCTCTGGGAAACTGGAGGATGTAGTTCTGAGCAAGGACGGATCTAGGTCTTCTTCCGTATCTTTTATCTTATGATTCCTCCTAGGATTTCATGTGTGGAAAAAAGTAAGACTGGATCCTTATAGCATTGGTTCTCAGCCTCTTGAAGGCCACAGGCATCTTTAAGAAACTGAGCGAAAGCTCTCGGGGTGTCTCCCCAGAACGAGGCATGTGTCACATGCACATTTGCACTGTTTCTGTGGGTCACAGCTCTCTGAGGCCAATTTATGGAACTGCCTCAACAGTGTGCTCTCAGTCCATGGGGAGCTAATCCTTGGGGGATGTGGCCTCCGCTGGCTCAGAAGCTTAACAAAATGAAGGGAAGCAGGTATGCAGGCCAAGCTACCTCCTCTGCCCTCATGGGCCACTGAGCTTCACAGCCTTCCTCCTGGGCCTCTGCATTCCTTCTCCCTTTCTATTCCTCTCCACACACAAGACCAAGCCAACAGCGTGGGCCTGCATAACTGAACACTAGAGCATGCTGTTCACCAGCAGACAGGAGAGTGGAGGAAGACGCGGGGTCCTTGTGTTCACATTTGTCTTTGGTGCCTTGTCTTTGGTCTTTTGAAGTTTCCGGCTCTCTGGTGGATGTCCTACCTGGATTTGCTCCTGTGATGTTTGCTCCTGCCCCACTTTCCATCTGGGCCAGGCACAGTGGACACAGATGCCATCTGCCCTACAGGGCGGGTGTCACAGCAGTGGAGGTGTCTTGCACGCACACCACCACAATCAGGCAGGATGAACACAGGGCTGCAGACCGATGTGGATGAGCCCTCCCTGGTAGTGGTTGAAAAGGAAAAGCCTTCCGCAAAGCCTTCCATCTCAGTGAGCCTGGAAGGCTCAGCAGCAGCTGGCCAGACTAAAGATGAGAGAAGGGAAAAGCTGCTCCACTTGGAAGCAGCAAGATGCAGACCACAGCCTGGCAGTTCAAGAGGCTGCAAGCGGCTCAGGCTGAGAGATGACAGTGGAGAGGCCAGGCCAGCACTGAAGGGATCAGGAGCTTCGGAAGGATGTCAAGTTAGGGATGGAATGGGGGAAAGCACCTCAGGCGTCCTGTGGTAATCTCACGCATATTCAGAATACACCCATCATCCAAATCTATTTCTCCTGACTCTCTTGTCTTGGGAATGGCACCAGTCTCTCAATCCCGAAACCTGGGAGTTACCCACACATGACTTCTCACTCACTCACCAGTCAGCCCTAATGAGCCCGCCCTACCCATTTCCTCCCGATCCTTCTACTGGACCACGAAAGGTCTCATAACAAGTCTCCCTCTCATCTTCCCAGGGCCTCTCCAGGCCTCTTTATCCTGCCATTTACTTCCTAACCTCCCAGCTTAAACATCGTCATCGCTGTCACAGAGCCTTTAGGATAAAGCCCGAGCTCCCGGCTTTATTCCATCCCTTCTCTCCAGTCTTTTCTCCCTAGCTCCCCTTCCCACCGAGGATCCACTCACACCAGATGTCACTGTGTCCCCAGTGTGCTCCTCTCAGTGACATTTCTAGGCTTTGTCCTGTTGTCAGCGGTCCCTGGAAAGCTCCTACTCCATTTATCCTTCAAACTCAGCTCAAAAGGCACATTTTTTAAAGCATCTCTTAGACCCTCTACCACCAAGCATTACCAATCACCTGCATAACCGCTCTCGGAGCAGGCGGCAAGCTGCTATCTGCATCACAGTCCATGTTACTTATCTCCTCCACCGGACTGTGATTTTCCTGAGGAAGGAAGCCCTGTCTTGCTCATCTTTCTTTCCTCAGCACTCAGGTTAGTGCTTGTCACATAGTAAGTAATGAACAAATGTTTGCTGAAGGAACAAGCAAATAAATACAAAGCTACATAAGGAAAAGTTGGGTGCTGCCACACTTATTTCCTCAGCTTGGCCTGAACCCTTTGAGCCAGCAGATCCAAACCCTTTCTCCTTAAAACCCAAGTTCTTATGTCCCAGCATCCACCTGCCCCAGGTCCTGCTCCAGCTCGGATACTACTCACCCCGGAGCATGTCCCACATGGTCTAAACTCCATCCCTAGGCTTGCATGACTCGCCGCCCTGGAATGCTTCTCTAAGGCATCAAAATGTTACACCAAGTCCAAAAGAAGGCTTTCCATCTACAAAAGAATTACTGGTCCTTAATTCCCCTCCCATTTGAAGCACACCTTCCTCTGTGCCCCCACAGCACCTGGGCTCCCATCAGGACCTGAACTCCTGCCATCTTGTATGTGTTCTCAGGGTGTGAGCCTCCCCAGTCTCACCAGACCCTGTGCTCTTCTTCCCCGTTCCCACAGCACATGGGCCCCTATCAGAACATGGACCTTGCTCTGCCTTTTGTTGGTTCCTGGGTCTGTGTCTCTCTACTCCTAGCTGGCCGTGTCCTCCAAGACAGCAGAGGGCCACATTCTGTGCCCTGGAATTATGCCTAGCTTATGGTAGATGACACTGATGCATTTTGAGTGGGACTAATCATCGCTTTAGGCATCAGGTAAAAGGTAATCAAGGGAAGCCAACATGCCCAATTACCTACTCAAAGAACAGGAGCACCGTGCAAGCACCCAGGGCTCTGGACACCCTCCTCAATCCCTGCTGCAGTGTGCTTCCCTTGGGCAAGAATCAGGAGGAGAATTGTGTGGACTCAGAGGTCCTGGGGACCCCATTACACACTCGCACGCGGGCAGCATTACTATGACGTCCTGCATTGCTTTTGTTGGATGGATACCTGGGAACAGTGGATTTGAAGACAGGCTTTTCTTCCAGGGCTGCAGGCTGACAGAAACCTCATGAAACAGGTAAGACCCTGTGTCAGGCACATGACATGTGATGGCACTTAACATTTTCCTAATAGATCTGAGAGACATGTGTTATCCCTGCATAGCAGATGAGGAAAGCAGTAAGTGGCCAAGTAGGTACAGGGGGACACTAAAGCACAAGTGTGCAGGGTGCTTCCTGGAGGCTGCAAACAGTTCTGGAGGAAACACGCGCTCCAGCCAGCAGCTCAGTGCACCTGCCCTCCCATCCTAGGCTTTCAGCTAGACAGAGATTAGGAGCGTGTGGGGCTGTCACACCACCTCCTGCACATTCTTTGGTGTCAATATCAACCCAGATCTCCTCCCTGACTTTCAAAAACGGTTTCCTAGTTTTTGCAGCCACTTCCTTTTGCACTTGGTCACGACATTTAAGTAAATAAAGGCCTTACAAATCTAAATGATGGTGGCTGGCTGATGAGAACTTCGTGAAACATATACAAGTCTTAAGACACAAATCGATCAAGCGAAAGAAAGGATATCAAAGACCGAAGAGCAACTTAATGAAATAAAGTGTGAAGACAAGATTAGAGAAAAAAGAATGAAAAAGAACAAACAAAGCCTCCAAGAAATATGGACTATGTGAAAAGACCAAACCTACATTTGATTGGTATACCTGAAAGTGACAGGGAGAATGGAACCAAGTTGGAAAACACATTTCTGGATATTATCCAGGAGAACTTCCCCAACCTAGAAAGACAGGGCGACATTCAAATTTAGAAAATACAGAGAACACAACAAAGATACTCCTCGAGAAGAGCAACCCCAGGACACAT